AATTGTATAGCGACACTATGTTGAATCTCGCCTCGACGACTGAATATATCTGTAATTCGGATAGTGCACTTGAAAAAGTAAGATCATGTTATTGAAACGACGGACGTAGTAGTTAGAAAGTTTGGTTTGATCCCGTTTATTGGCCGACGATTTAAGATCGAGGTAAATTTCCATCCATCAATCTACGATGAATGAAAAATGTTCGATGAAAATGACATTTCACATTGTAACTGTAAAAAAATAATACGATACCGTTTAAATTTCATATGAGAAAATAATTCAACGATACATTGATGAGAGTCTACATTTTTCGCAGTGCTATTATCTGCTTGTCGTGAACGTGAATCGTGTGACGCCTTTTTAGGTATATTTCATGTGAAAACGATAATCAAACGGGGAATTGACTGCGATTAGTGAAGTATATACGTGACTAAATTCAAGTTTTATATACATATTTGCCGATAACTTGTGTCAAACGCATGTAAGCGCTGCAAATATATACTTATAATCAAGCGCTGAATGCTGTATCGATTAATGAAGGAAGAATCACGACCTGTTACCTGCAATTGTTACTTACGTTACTCTTCTAGGGGATATTCATGACAAGAGGGGTAAACAAAATCAAATTTTCGAGCGTAAAATTGTTAACATTTTAATATACAAAATAGCATTGCTAAAATTGTAAAGCAAAATCGTTCAAAATAATTCGAAATGAACATTTCTCGTATCTAATATACCTATTTATATTATACTGCACATTTAGAGATATACTATATATATATATATTCGATAACGGAAACAAATAAAAACATATTGATATATGACGATCTCTGGGATTTCGTGAGAGAGATTTATCGAAAGGAATCGATAAATCCGACTGAATAACTAATTATACTATATAAAAAAATTTACTATTATACAAAACGAGGTGCGTTCGGCGTATATTATATTACTGCATGCGGTATAACATTACACGTGGTGTTTGGCTCTAATAAACAGCGTTTATTTAGTATACGTGTAGAGCCTTTTTTGGACAAATTATAGTTATCTGTAATTACTAAATACGCGACGTATTTCTTGCTTTTTCCTATCTTGCTAAGTAACATTTACATTAAATAGATGTAACACGTTACCAACTGCCATTAGTATATTTCATTCATTATAAACGAAATATAACATGCTTTTCCATATCGTAAAAAGTTCTCTGGAATATGTTCAAAATATGATTAATTTTATAATCTCTTACCTTTTGACTTTTTTAATTTTTTATTTACTGATCCCTTTACAACAGACTCGCCGCGAAATCAACAGAGAAAAAACAACGAAAACGAATTTCAATGTTATCGGAAAAGTATCACCTCTAGATTTCATTTCTTGTATGAATTCTGTTATCATATCGAAGACACTCGATAAACCAGCTTACGTTTGGTAAAAGAATAACTCGTCGCTAAATGTATGCAGCAAAGTGTGTTATTCTGCAGTGTGCGTGTGCTGTGTGTGTGTGTGTGTATATCAGCGTTTTCCAAACCGTGTATGAATGTGCGCATACGTTCTATGGCGATACGAATATTTCGCCAAACGAAACATGATGACCAACCTAAATACGGGCACTTTTAAATGACGCGTGAGATAATAATTCGCTTCTTTACGACGAGGGGTCTCCCTTATGCAACAGTATACGGTTAATGTTTTCTTCTAGAACACTAGTTTGGAAAACGCCACCATAATATGTATATGTATGTATTCTATACACGGAAAACACGATTAAATTACGAGAGATTCTCATTATTAATCTTCGGCTTGTATCTACAAAAAAAAGCTGACCAGCAGTAAAACGTATAATATTATAAACTAGTGCTCTATAATAATGCAACCTTGCGTTCTCTATAAAACTGAACATGATTTATCGCTGAAATACAAATATAATATAAAATAAACTAATCACAGACTCCATCTTGATATATTTTTTTCTTTTTCTTTTTTTAATGTATTTACACAGCTTCGCAAGAATTACGAGCGATAAAGTAATATTTACTATTATTCTCGACACACGATGACTAACATTTCTCGAACAAACTCCGGTATTCCGGTTAACAATGATAACATATTATATCGTTACGTTTGAAATCAAAGCGAAATACGAGTGTCGATTTATTTTCGAGAACGACCTGATTTTACCCCGGCTATGCACCATATATGCGTGTATATATATATACATATATATATATATATACATACATATATATGCACGCGCAGATAAAATTTTCTTACTATCTGTGAAACGAGATATTTAGTTACGTAACAAGCGTGCATTTCCTTTCTATGCAGCTTTAACAGCAATTTTCGTCCAATGTTAATTCAATTATCAACATTTACTCAACACGTTACGTAAACAATAATTGTACATTCACAAAGCGAGGAACAAGTATGTCGAGATTGAATATGTATATGACAGATATCGATAAAAAAAATTAAAATTAAAAAAATGTTTGGCGAATCAATAAAAATTTTCTTCATCTTGTTATATCGTACTTGTTTTTTTTTTCTCTTTATCCAACTATTTCTGTACACAAATCTCTTTTCGTTTCATTTTTTTTCTTGTCTAACACGTAAAACGTCGAACAATGTTACAATGAGATGTTTGTAGGTACCCAAAATGTGATGCAAATATAGAAAGCATGGTTTTGTCCCTTTCAATTGAATGGCAGTGATAAAAAATGGATCGTCAACGTCATGCATCATTTAATTACTCTTATCACTAATAATAAGTGTTGTATTATGTATACAGCTAGGTAAATTGTTTTTTCGATGATACACAAGTGAGTACTGATACTTCGTTTGTCCAAATTAAATTTTTATTAAACACGGTTTTCATTTCTGTAACATCGAGGACGAATTATAACATAAATAATTATTATTGATCAGTATCACTTTTTTGCGCTCAACAATGAGTCTATTTTTAATTATAACACTGGAAGATAGTACGTGGGGGGCGGCGGCGACGGTGACAGCGATGTCTTTCCTCCATCTGCCAGTGCTTTTTTATTTTCTTCTTTCATTTTCTTTATACTTTTTAACTTTCATTTGTTCTCTTACTCACTCACTCTCATGCATTCATCGATCTCTCTTTTTCTTTCTCTCGCACGCCACACAATTAATGCACACACATGCTGTGTTTGCACATCGATTACTTTCGCTCTCAGCTACACAATATTTTGGTACACAATAATACCTAATCTAGCCTAAAAACTTCTTTAATTGTAGTGTAAAGCATGGCGGGTGATATATACATTACACGCGCACAGTTTATAATTAGATAGCAGATGTTTTTAATTATCGTTATTAGAGAGAGATAGGAAACATATTCAGGAAGGTTCCGGGATGGTTGAGGGCGGAGAAAAGGGGGAAGAGGTAATTGGCAATAATATATATATTATATATATTCGTGTGCTTGCATCTTCTCGAATGTAAGTGTGGTTAAAGTGAAGACACTCTTGCTTACGCGCGCTTTCTCTCTCACTCTCATTCTCTCTCGCTCTTACTTGATCGTTCTTTCTCTCGTTGCAGAAAGCCACCACCACCGCTCCCCGGCTCGCATATTGCGTGTCGCTTTGTAAACGCTAGTTACGAGTTTCTGGAAAAAGGTATTTTTTAGACTTTTCTTCCATATTCCGTTACGCCGTTTATATTTTGTTTCTTGTTATTCCGTTTTTTTCTTTCTATCATCGTTGTTAAGAATTTGAAAAAGGACAATTTAATTTCTGATGGCTATTTTTTGTTTCATCAAAAACAATTATTTTTCACACACAATGCATTTAATATATAGGTGCATTTTCAAGCGAGGACTGTCGACAAAAAAGGATATTTCGCAGGCTCGAATTTTTCTTCTATTGCTCGTCTAGGTATACCTTTTTTTTCCCGTTCCGATCTCATGCGTTCGAAAAAGTGTTAATCCCATGTTTTTCGCGCACTATCGGTTGCAAACTGAAAAGTTTCGAAATATTTAGTGTATTTTTATTTTGGTTTCTCTCCCGGAAATGCGCCTACACGTTGAGCTTTGATGTATTATTTTTTTTCTTTGTTTAGATAGAAAATACTGCGCAGTCAATAAAATGGGCAAGCGGGCGCAACGAATTCTCCTGTCCTCGACTGTGACACGATGTACTTACGGGGAGAGATGGTGGCCGATCGAAAGGCCGTATATACATGCGAAAGGGTTTACTGTCAGCTCCCATAACAGTGAACCCTCGAAAACAATAATTTTCGTATTGCATCGGTAAAATAACCCCACAATGCGTTTGTGTGTACATATATATGTATACATACACAAATACACACACACACACACATATTATTGATAACTTATTACGAAAAAAATGTGAAGTGTCGAACGCATAATTTTAATATTTCTTCATTTTTGTTATTTTTTTTTGTTCAAAAGATTCATATTTGTCACGCCACTGTTGCAAGCGCCCGCTCACCTGCACTGAACGAACTTATTATGGAATGTACAAATTATTTTTTTCACCATTATTATCTCGTAACCCCTTTTCTTAGGTAGTCATACATCTGCTGGAACGTATGGAATCATTTTGGTTGTCTTACATACTCATCACTTCAAATACCGCTGGCCTTTGCAGTCACCCATTAATTATTTTGTAAACCATACAATTGTTACCCACAATAAGTGCAAATTCCTGATACGCCCAGCAGCCTCTGAATTGACTTAATACTATCATGTATCTGTCCATTGTCTACTCACATTCATTTCTTTTTCTTTCTCTCTCTCTTTAAAACTTCATCCCACATACTATACTTTGTGTCTTGTAGTTTCGATTGTACAATTATCTGCATTTGTTTTTTTTCTGTTCGAGATATAGTTTTGTACAATCATCGCAATATTATGCTGTTTCCTACACGCAGGACTTGCATGTTCTTCCCACTTTCTCATTCAGGATATTATAATTTTCATATTTCTTAGACGTTTGTCGTGGAGATGTTTATCTGCAATCTGTATACTGCCA